CAGGTTTGAAAGCTGACGCTGCCACATACATCATATATTAGACCAGTCACCTCCCCTTTCCAGGCCTCTACTTCTTCACCCTCAATGAGAGGGTTGGATATGATGACTCCTAAAGTCCCATCAGCTACTCCACCCCCCAATGGCTCTGTGATCCTAAGTCAGCTCCAGAACCAGGCTCCTCCCTTTAATCTGGGCATCTCCTTTTAAGAGGTACACTGGCAAGCCAACGGGTTTCCAGAGGAAGGTAAGCATAGTGAGAACAATATTATGTTAAGCTAAGAGCAGTAGAAGGAATCGGAGACAATCCAAGGTGAGGATCCTGATAACTCTTTTCAAATATCCAAAGGGCTATATTTGAAAGAGGGAATAGACTGCTCTTGCTTGGCCCCAGAGAGCAGAACTAGGAAGTTATTGGATATTGCCAAGGCATGGCATAAGGAAAGGGGGAGAGGAAGAAGGTACCTACAGCTTTGGTAGAAGGAATTTTCTACCCAATGAAATCAGAAGTCCTATCAAATAGAGTTATTCAAATATAGAAGCTATTCAAATTGTATCTTTCTGCTGGCTTCATTTTATAAACATTTGTTTCTTTTTAGGTTAAACAAGCATTTCAGTATCTTCTGTGGGAGGATGTCCTGTGGAGACATTGTGAATAAAATCTGGCCAGTCTACTGAGGGCACTTAGTCTTACACACTACTCTTGAGCTCAGTTTCATTTCATCTGGTTTTGATCTTGGAGAGTCAAGTACAGCAGCTGTCAATCCCTGCTGCCTGTTCTCTAGGGAGGAAAATGGGGGATGTCTTTAGAGAAGTCCTGCATTAAAGGGGCTGCCTCCTCAGTACTTTCTCTTTACTTCTGCAGAGTCTCCTGGAGTTAATTCAGTGGTCAGACAGATGATTCTTTAACATTTTTAAAAAATATTAATTTTTTTTAAGGCAATTGGGGTTACACAGGTCATGCAGGGTCACACAGCTGGTAAGTGTCTGAGGTCACATTTGAACTCAGGCCCTCCTGACTCCAAGGCCAGAGACCTATCCACTGCGCCACTTAGCTACCCTTCTCACTCCCTTTTCTCAAGCATTTTAGGGTTCATGAAACCCCAGAAGCACCCCTGGGATGCTGGGATGGCAGCAGTGGTCTTACCATTCCTAATTTACAGAGAGATAAGTGATGCCAAGTAGCTCCCACAGGATCAAGAAGCTAGGAGGAGGCAGAATTCAAACCCAGAGGCCATATGGGACACTGGAAAAAACCATAGGATCTGGGAGTCTGAGGGTTCAAATGCCCCCTCTGTTGCTATCTGTGTGATCTTGGGCCAATCAGTTAATTGTTCTGGGCCCCAGTTTCTTCATTGCTAAAATGAGGGTGTCAGATGAATTATCTTCAAAGGTTCTTTTCAGCCCAGCACCATCTACACTATGCCACCCTGTTATTTCATTTGATCCTTATCACCCCACGAGGGGTCTAGCATAGACATCATTGCCTCTGTGTCATAGAGGCGGAAACTGAGACAGTGACTTCCATAATCACCCAGCTGGCAAGTGTCAGAACTGGGATGAAAACCCCAGTTTTCTGAATCCCAGGATTTAGGGGCATCGAGTCCAATTCCCCGAGGCCCAGAGGGGGAAGGGACTTTCCCAAGGTCACAGGGAAAATGAAAGGCACGAGCCAGTCTCTGGACCAAGGCCCCTGCAGCTGATGTTCTCACCATGACATCAGGCTGCTCTTCCACACTTTTAAGGGGCCAGTTTTTGGCCTACTTTTCGGAATTGTCTGACCTCTGCAGCATCCATATCCAGAACTCTGGATATATGACAATTTCTCTTCATCTTCTCCCCTCTCCCCCACTCCCCACAGCCTTTGGAAAATTCCCTTGGATCTTAATTCTTCCAAGCCACCCCCCCATGCCAACCTTCCTTGATGCCCCTGTTCTCTAGGCCTGGCAGAATTTTCAGGGTCTCCCCTACAAACTTAGAGGAGTCATGGTGCAGGACCTGGCCCCAGCCCCAAGCAAGGAATCTGGAGCAAGAGGAGGAGGTGATGAGCAGAGACAGGATGAGCAAATGAGTGTGGCAAGGCCACAGCTGCCAAATCTCTCTTTTCTTTCCAATCTGCTGTCCCCGGCCTTGGCTCCACACCATTCTCCAGGACATCCACACAGCCTATGTCCCCAGGATACCCCATTATCACCAAGGAGCTGGGACTAGGGACTGAATGGCTGCTGCAGCCATTCGGAGCAATTGATAATCAATCAACCAATTAACTGACAAGCGTTTTTTTAATCCTTGACTCTCTGCCAGGCCCTATGCTAGGCTCTAGGGATGCAAGGCAAGAAAGGAACACTCCTTGCCCTCAAGGAGCCCATATTCTAATGGGTAGACTGCAAGGATATACATAAATATACATACAGTGTAACTGTGAGGAAAATAAATACAAATGAATACCAAGTAGGTGAATGCAAGTTAATTGGGAAGGGAGGGCATTAACAAGGACATTCTGGGAATTTATGAGTGCCAGCCACTGCCTCTGGTGCCAGTAGAAAAGAGTCTTAGTTTAAAAATGGGCAGTGTGGCTTAGGGAAAAGAACACTGGCTTTGAAGTCAGGCTGGGCTGGAATTCCAGCTCTGCTCCAGACTAAGCTCGTGACCTGGGGAGAAACCTCAGTTTCCCCCTTGGTAAAATGAGTAGGTTTGAGTAGATGATTTCTAAGGGCTCTATATCCCTGACAACCCATGTATTCTGAGTTCTCTCCCAGCTTTAACCCTATAGATAGATGCTAGATAGACAGAATAACTATCTTTCATCTATCCATCAATGGATGGATGATAGGTGATAGATATAGATACATGTAGATAGCTGAATGACAGGTGATGTAGATAGGTGGGTAATATAGATGGATGATAGATATTGATAGATATAGATGGATGATAGATGGATGGATGGATGATAGGTGATATAGATATAGATAGACAGATGATGATACTGATATAGATAGATGGATAGATACATATACACATGCATATATACGTAGATTAGATGATTTCTAAGAGCTCTCTTATCTCTGAATCCTCTGACATTTATATGTTGACTGAGATTTCCAAGGTGCTTTCCTTATAACAATCCTGTGTGGAAGGTGATCTGCATAGATCCCTTTTACAGGTGAGGTAATTGAAACTGAGAGAAGGAAGTGACTTATTTAATGTCACACAGTGAGGGTCACATCTGGGTCACAAACCCAAGTCCTTTGACTTCAAGTATTATACTGCTTGGTTTCCCAGCTTCCATCAGACTCCCTATACCCAGACCCTTGGTTCTGAGCAAATCCTGGAAGAGAAAACGCCAAGCCACAAACAGAAACAGGCCTTGTGAATTGTATGGAGCCACCAGTGGGAGAGTAGCATGGTGTTGTGGCAAACATTAGATTTAAATCAGGCCACCTGGGTTCAAGAGCTGTTTAACAATCTACTAGCTGTATGACCTTGGATAAGTCTCTTCACCTATCTTGGACTAAATTTCTTCCACTGCAAAATAAGAGTGTTAGACTAGATGGTCTCTTAGATCTTAGGATTCTGTGACCCACTGGAATGTAAGCTCATTAGAGATAGAGATGATAGTTAGCTCCTGATTAAAACAAAGGACAAATCACCTGAAGTGGTCCCACATTTCACTTTGTGCTATTTTGAAGTTATAATTATATGAAACATGGAAATTAGTTCCAGTCCAATAGAAATAGGCAGTGGGAATCGGAATAATGTGACCACATCAGCAGATTCATTATTTGCACTAACTAAGGCCCCAGCTGAATTTGGTTTCTGTTATTCTATTCCCAGTGCCTCAGCAGTGGCTTGTTGGAGAGGCAGCATGGAAAAAGAACTGACTCTGGAGTCAAAGGCCCTGGGTTTGAATCCACAGATGTTACTACTAATAGGACTTTGGGATGCCACTGAAATTCTCTGGGTCTGTTTCCTAATCTGTAAAATTAGAGGGCTGATTTAGAATCTCAATATTCTCTGAGGACCCTTCTAGCCTAAACCTACCTATGAACCTAGGTTCATGGCTCAAATCCCAACTGTCACTTATTCCCCTGTGGGACTTTGGGTAAGTTACACCCTAAGCCTATTTCTTCCTCTGTCAAAGGAAAGCATTGGCTTGGATGATCTTAAACCATAGGATGGTAACAAAGTCAGGACTTAAATGAAGGGATAGATAGATCTGGGGCTGAGTCCTTCTCAGAGTTGCTACTTGTGGGGCTATGCTTGAAAGTCACTTGAGTTCTCTGGGACTCAGTTTCCTTATCTGCACAGCACAGTGACTCCTCTGAGCTTCTTACTTCATCTGCAAAGTAAGGGTTTTGACCTAAGGTTTCTGAGGTCTCCTCTATCTCTAGAGAGACCCAGGAGCCTCTGATCTGGGTTTCAAGTTCCACCACTACCTTTGTGACCTTGGGCAAGTTTGCTCCCTTTTTTTGAGCTTGTTTCCCCATCTGGGAAATAAGAGTGCTGGGGGGTGGTTATTAGATTAGATGCCCTTCAAAAAGTCCCTCCCAGCTCTAGAAGGAAATGAATCCTAAGTTCTTTGTGTTCTATGAGCCTCAGTCTCCCCATCTGTAAAACGGGAATGTTTGGGGGTGGTATTGGATTAGATGCCCTCTGAAATTGAATCTTAACTCCCTTCCTCTCTTTGTGCCTCAGTTCCCCCTGCTGTCAATTGAGGGGGTGGGGGCGGGAGCAGGACCCTTCTTCCAGCCGTGGGGGTCGGTAGTCTGAACTCCCTCCCCCGAGACACAGTGGAAAGGTCGGGGTGGGGGAGGGGCGGAAGCTGGGCTCGAGCAGGTTCCAGGCATTAGCACAAACCTTTAGCGGGCATCTATGTCTCTGCCCCCTCCCTCTACAGCCCCCTGGGCCGCGCAGGCGTACAGTAGAACCGCTCCTCGGCGCCCCCCTCCCCGACCCCCCACGTGCTGCCCCCGCCCCCGGCGGAGCGCGCAGGCGCGCTTTCGCCGGCCTTTTGGCCGGGCCCCAAGGCCGCGTCCCTTCAGTCCGAGCTCCGGGTGCCGGCGTGCGGACGCGCGGACAGCCGCTGGGCCGTCCGCTCAGCCGTCCGCTCGGCCGCTCTCTGTGCCTCTGTCCGCTTTTCTCTTTTTCTCCCTCTCCCGAGCGGTTGCTGCGGGCGGCCGCGGCGGCGCGAGCCGCGGGTCACGTGATGAGCATCCTGCTGCCCAACATGGCGGAGTTCGACACCATCTCCGAGCTGGAGGAGGAGGACGACGACGACGCGGCCGCCGTGTCCTCGGGCCTCGACGACGACTTCGACGAGGATTTCGACGACGACGAGGACGAGGGGAACGAGGACGGCGACGATCTGGAGCTGCAGCAGCCGCTGCCGCCGCCGGGCCGGGTGGTGAGCGAGGAGCACCTGCGGCGGCTGGCGCCAGACCCGGTGACGGTGCGCGGCACGGGCCACATCACGGTGTAAGCTGGGGGTGGGAGGCGGGGAGAACGAGGGTGGGGGACGAGATGGGCCTGGGGGCGCTCACAGGACGGGGTGCTGCAGTCCATGAAAGAGAACGGGAGGGGCGGGGCTGAAAGGACTGAGAAGGGGTGGGGGGAGGGGGCCAAGGGGTCTAGAACAAGGGGTTACTTCCCCTGAAAGGGAGCCAGGTGGGGGGGAGCCCCCCTCAATTGAGAGGGGAGCCAGGGTGAGGGGGAACTGAGAGGATGAAGGAGCTGACAGGATGAGGGAGGGGACTGCAATCTGTGAAACAGGACCAAGGGGAGGATGACGCTAAGAGGAGTGGGGGGTGGGGGGGGGGGCTCAGGGCAGGTTAAGTAGACCAAAGGGGTCAAAAGAAGGGGCTACTTCCTCTGAAAGAGAGTCAAGTTGATGGTTGGAGGTTGGGGGGAGTGAAGCTGAGAGGAGAGCCAATTGATAGGATGGGGGGGGGAGGACTGCAGTCTCTGAAAGAGGACCAAGAGGAGGCTGGGATGAGAGGACTGGGGGTGTGATGAAGTAGACCAAGGGAGTCCAAAAGAAGGGGCTGCCGCCGCTGAAAGAGAATCAAATTGGGGGCAGAGAGTGAAGCTGAGATGAGAAGGGGGGATTTGAGAGGACTTAGGAGGGTGAAGGGGCTGAAAAGACTGAAGACAGTCAAGTTGGGGGGGATTTAAAAAAGGATTAAGGGAATCTAAATGAAGGGGCTACTTCCTCTGAAAGGGAGCCAAGTTGGGGGGTTAGATGGTTAGAAAATAGTTGGAATGATGGTTAGATGGTTAATGATGGTTAGAAAAAGGGACCACTTCCTTTGAAAGGGAACCGTAGTCGGGGGGGGGGTACTGAGAACTGAGAGGAATCAAGGTGTAGGGGTGAAAAAGATCAGAGAGTCTAAAATGAAGGCTTGCTTCCTTTTAAGGGGAGCCAAGTTTGGGGGGGATAGAGCTGAGAGAACTGAGGGGAAACAATCTGGGAGGGGACCGAAAAGACAGAGGAGTCAAGTTGAGAGCATTAGAGAACCAAGGGGGTATAAAAAGGGGGCTGATTTCTCTGAAAGAGAGCCAAATTGAGGATAAGAGCTGAAAGAACTGAACTGAGGAGGGGGGAAATTTGAAACAAGGGACTGCTTTCTCTGAAAGGGAGCCAAGGTGGGGGGTAGAGCTGAGAGAAATCAAGGGAGCCAAGGGGGGGGTGCTGAGGGAAATGATGGACTCAAGTGGGGGGGGACTAAGGACTGAAGGAGTCTTAAAAAAGAAGCTGCTTCCTCTGAAAGGAAGCCAAGTTGGGGAGTAGAGCTGAGAAATCGGGGGAGCTAGGGTGGGAAAAGGAGGAGGGAATGAAGTTGGAAGGCAAAGGACAGAGGGGGACTTAAAAAAGGAGCTACTTACTCTGAAAGAAAGTCAAATTGGGGATAAGAGCTGAGAGAACTGAACTGAGGGGGGATCTGAAACAAGGCACTGCTTTCTCTGAAAGGGAGCCAAGTTGGGGGTAGAGCTGAGAGAAACCAAGGGAGCCAAAGTGAGGGGTGCTGAGGGAATTGGTGGACTCAAGTGGGGTGGGGGGGACTAAGGACTGAAAGAGTCTTAAAAAAAGGAGCTGCTTCCTCTGAAAGGAACCGAAGTTGAGGAGTAGAGCTGAGAAATCGGGGGAGCTAGGGTGGGAAAAGGAGGAGGAAATGAAGTTGGGGGGCTAAGGAGTGAGGCGGACTAAAAAAAGGAGCTGCTTCCTCTGAAAGGGAGCCAGTTGGAGAAAGGATGAGGGAATTGAAGAGACTCAAGTTGGGGAGGGTAAGGATTGAGGGAGTCTAAGAAAAGGGGGGTGCTTCCTCTGAAAGAGAGTGCAGTTGGGGGATGGAGCTCAGAGAAGTGTGGGGGGCTAAGGCAGGGGCCTGAGAGAACCTTGGGGAGCCAAGGTTATGGCGAGACTCTGAGAATGAAGCAGAATCAAACTGAAAAGGGATCTAAGGACTGAGAGGGTCTTAAAAAGGAGCTCCTTCCTTTGAAAGGAAAGGAAAATTGGAGAGGGGAAATTTGGGGGTGTTGAGAATTGTGAGGGGCCAAGTTAGGGGAGGTTAAGAGAAATGAGGGGGGTCTCAGAAGGGCCTGCTTCCTCTGAAAGGGAGCCAATTGGGGGAGAGCTGAACTGAGGGAGGGGGGAAGTCTGCAACAAGGGGCTGCTTCCCTGAAAAGGAGCCAGGGTGGGGGTGGAGAGAACTGAGGGGAGCCAAGGTGGTGGGCTGAGGGACTAGGAATTGAGGGACTTGAGTGGAGGGGGATTGAGGGAGTCTAAAAAAAGGGGCTGCTTCCTCTGAAAGGAGCCAAGTTACAAGGGTGGAGTTCAGAAAACTGTGGGGAGGACTGAGGTGGGGGGGAGTGCAGAGGGGGCTGCTTCCTTTGAAAGGGAGCCAAGCTGGAGGGCCGGGCCTGAGACAATTGAGGGGAGCCAGGAAGGGGGGGCACTGAGAGCACTGAAGGAAGCCAAATTTGGAGGGGGCTCAAAGGACAACAGTCCCTGAAAGAGGACCAGGTTTGGGGAGGGCAGTCGAAAAGTCAGGGAAGCCAAGGTGCAGGGGGAGGTGGACAAGAGGCTGCAATCCCAGAAACGGAGTCCAGCAAGCTGAGAGAAGCAAGGGCAGCCCCCTTTGGCACAAGGAGGAGAGATGGGGCTGCTCTCGTGAAATGCTGTGTGACCAAGCCAAAAGAAGTGGTAGGAGATGCAGCCCTAAAGGGGAGGGGGCCCAGTTGTTAAGGGAGGTGGAGCTGAGAGCGCTCAGGGGGTTGTGTTGGGGTAGCCAAGCAGGCTGAGAGGATATTGGGGCGAGGAGGAACAACTGAAGGGGAGGAGGGGGCTGGGAAAGAGGGGAAACTGAGTCAGAGAGTATAGATGAGGCAAAACATGCTTGAACTCAAGTTCTCTGACTCCTAGAGTCAAAATGCCTTACCCATTGAACCAACCACACTGCCCTTTCTGTGTGGTTGCCAATTTCATGTGAGGCCAGACATCTCTAAACTGCAGAATGGACCTGGGAGACCTTCCCTGCAGGGATTGCTGATGGTAGTTGGAATCACTTATGTGAACCCTTTTAAACCCCAACATGAGAGAATTTTATGTATAATTTATATCTCTATGAAGAGTCACATCTATGAAGAAGATGACCTTTTCCCTGCCTCAGCCTTTTTTCAGGGTGACACTCCTTTACATTAGAGGTCAGGTGCATATGTTTTCTAAGTGCTGGCTTCAGCTTAAGAGGGAGCTAGGCCCCAAGAGCCCATGTCAGTGTAGGTCAATGAGGAAATTACCCCTCTGGGAGCAAGGGGAACTTATCAGAACTTAGACGAGGTAGATTTTTTCTTCTGTAAAACTCCGAGTCATCCCCGGAAAATTAAACAGTTAACCAACCAAAGTTTAAAAAAAGATCCTCACAGCTTAGGGGCTACAAAGGAGTTTTTCTAAGGGGCATGAGAGCTTTTGAAGGCTACTTGTTTACTGTTATGTGTCTAGACTGTAAATACTTGGAACTTTACACACTGGATCATGTTTTCATCATGTTTTCACTATTTTTTACTACATTTTCAGGAACAGACCGACTTTTTTCTGTCAAGTTATCATGTCTCTACTTTCTGTGATATCCTCAGAGCTGTTGATTCTTCAATGAGTTTATATACTTATGCTTCTCCATTAGCAGCTTTTTATGGTCCAGGGCTTACTATTGGGCTTGTCCTGTACTTTGTTCTCTTTCAATAAAAGATATAAGAACAAAGCTTGTGGGATTGGGTGGGGATAGGAGAGAGAGCATATTGTTTTATTCTTGGGACAACTTTTTGATGAAGCAACTTGAATTCCAGATTTTTGGGTCCAGGAATGTTGCATAGCAGCAAGCCACAGGAAGCTGGCAAATGTAGAGAGTGAGCTTACTGTGCCATTTTATTTTCATTACTTTTTACCACTATTGAGAACTTATTCCCAAAATGAATTGTGATTCTATCTCCTTTTAAATTTACAAATTGCCTTCATGTAGCGCAGGGCTGAGAGAATCATAGCATCTTAGATCTAGAGCTGGTAGGGCCTTAGACGTCATCTAGTTCAGAGATGAGGAAACTGAGGCCCAGGGGGACATTAGGTGACTTGCCCATGATCCTGGAAGTAGTTAGTGGAAGAGCGGGCATTGCCAGCTAGCTCCCCTGGCTCCAAATTCAGAGTGCTTTCCACTTTGCCCTGCTAACATTGTCAAAGGCTGCTAGTTGAAGTCATGACTCTGCTTACCAGCACTTCTTCTTTTGGTAAGTTCAGATAGTGGAGAAAGGAGCAAGGAGGCAGAATTTGTTTCCTGGACCTTGTCTTGGTTCCACACATGGATAAACAGTCAACCTTTCTATTTTCTCTGTCGTTAAAAGGAAATAGAAATAATTTTTTTTGCTTGGAATCTTCTTCAATGACAGTTGCAAGGTTCCTTCAGTGATGCTAAAGGAGGAGGGGGGAGGGGAAGGGAGGAGAGGAGAGGAGAGGAGATGAGATGAGATGAAATGAAATGAGATGTGTTACAGGATGGAAGCCAAGGTCTGAAACCCTGGAGCCTGATGTTAGGTTGCTGGGCGGTTTGGAAAGTTATTTAGTATCCTTGTGTACCATATCTCAGCTGTGCCAGATCTTGGATTGAAAATTTTGATCAGCACATTAAATTACTAGAATCAAGTTTCACTAGTTGTGAGGAATGGGATAACCTTACCATGAGCCTTTCTCACCCTGATAGTCTTAGGAAATATTTAATCTTGTGTTGATGTCTTCAAAATAAACTTTGTGTGTGTATATGTGTGTGTGTGTGTGTATGTATATGTATGTATGTATGTGCATGCATGTGTATATGTGTGTGTGCAGGCCATCCAAACAGGTTTCTTTTTTATTCCCAAGATTTGTGTATTTTTCATTGTCTGCGTTTTTTTTTAAATGCTGAAAAGGACTTTGTTTCTTTTCACAGTTTTAA